AGTTGAATGTTTGATGTTGTTTCAACAGTTCAATTGTTTAACAGTCTCACTGCCCGCGGGAAGAAACTGTCTCCGAATCTTCTTGTCCTTGCCCGGATGCTGCGGTAACGTCTGCCAGACGGCAACAGAAAGAACAGTTTGTGGCTGGGGTGATGGGGGTCTTTGATAATCCGTAGTGATTTCTTCCTGAGCCGCTGGGAGTAAAGGTCCTCCATGGATGGCAGCTCCGTCCTGGTGATGTGCTGTGCAGTTTTCACCACCCTCTGTAAAGCCTTACGATCGAGGTCGGTGCAGCTGCCGTACCAGGCCGTCATGCTGCCAGTGAGGATACTCTCTATCGTGCACCTGTAGAAGTTGCAGAGTATCCTGGAATCCATTTTGAACCTCCTCAGCCTGCGGAGGAAGAAGAGCCGCTGTCGAGCTTTCTTGGTGATGGTGGTGGTGTGAAGAGACCATGTCAGGTCCTCAGTGATGTGGACCCCAAGGAACCTGAAGCTTTTGACTCTCTCCACCGTAGTCCCATTGATGGCGATGGGGGCGTGTCCCTCTCCCTGCTGCTTCCTGTAATCCACAATCAGCTCCTTTGTTTTGCTGATGTTGAGATGGAGGTTGTTCTCCTGGCACCAAGATGTCAGGTTTTCGACCTCCTCTCTGTATGCCGTCTCGTCATCGTCTGTGATCTGGCCGATGACGGTCGTGTCATCAGCAAACTTCACGATGGTGTTGGAGCTGTGTGTGGCCACGCAGTCGTGGGTGAACAGGGAGTAGAGGAGAGGGCTGAGCACGCAGCCTTGAGGGGCACCGGTGTTAAGAATCAGGGTGGAGGATGTGATGTTTCCCACCCGCACTGCCTGGGGTCTGCCCGTCAGGAAGTTCAGGATCCAGTCGCAGAGGGCGCTGTTGAGCCCGAGGTCTCTGAGCTTGATGGCCAGCTTGGAGGGCACAATGGTGTTGAATGCTGAACTGTAGTCAATGAACAGCATTCTCACATATGTGTTCCTGTTCTTCGGGTCCAGGTGTGAGAGGGCAGTGTGGAGGGTGAGGGCTATGGCGTCGTCTGTGGACCTGTTTGCTCTGTAGGCAAACTGCAGGGGGTCCAGAGATTCAGGGAGGGAGGAGGTGATGAATAATTTGACTAACCGCTCAAAGCACTTCATTATGATGGAGGTGAGTGCTACTGGGCGGTAGTCGTTGGGGCAGGTGATGATTGTCTTTTTGGGGACAGGAATGATGGTGGAGTGTTTAAGACATGTGGGGACTACAGACTGCAGCAGGGACCTGTTGAAGATGTCTGTGAACACCTCTGCCAGCTGAACTGCACACACCCTGAGAACACGGCCAGGGATGCCATCAGGTCCAGGAGCCTTGTGTGGGTTAACCCTTTTAAAGGATTTACACACATCTGCCCTATTTAAAACAAAAGGGCAGTGTAGCTCCTGGTCCCTCTGTTTTGTATAGTGTTTTGGAGGTTGAATTACCCCATAGTGGTTCATGGTGTTGGGTCTTCCTTTGGGGGCGGAGGACTGCTCAAAGTGCTCCAGCTCCTCCACCAGCTGCTCACAGAAGCTTCTCTCAAACACCGGGAAGCGATAAACTCGGGCAGCTTCAACAGAAACATGGGAATCAATGGTTATAAAGGGGGGAGACATGAGGTGCAGGGGTGACTGTTTTGTATTTAGTTTTGTTCATTATTAGGCCACTAGAGAAGAGGGTTTCTGTTCCTTTAATAAGTAATTAAAATGTTATCCGCCTTTATTTATATCCTGCTTTAAAAATACTGTTTGCTGAATCCTTTTAATTTGAGATCGTCATTAAAACAACTTCAATTTTACCAACTCCATCATCCTAAAAGGGAACATTTTTACAAAAATGTTTGTATGAGAGCTAATACTTCCCATGTTTTTGCTTTTTTAATACATTTAAAAAATGGATTTTAAGACATTTGTATGCCCTGTATAACCAGGCCTTATGTGATAGTATCTGTACACTTGGGATTCAACCACATTTTTTAAATATAATTTTGAACTAAGACGTGCATAACAGTATGTATACTCTTTAAAGTCAACAGAGAAAAATGGGAATTATTCATTTGTGTTGCGTCAGCTTCACCTTTCAACGTCTTTGTAATGTTTATAACTCACTACAGGAAAGGGAACACACTAAAAAACATAATAGGGCCCTTTTAATATTTGGTTTAACTGTTAATTTCACTGTCTTTGTAACATATTTAAAATGTATTTCAGTACTTTTTTATATCCTGTATAACCGGGACTTGCATGGCACATGGCGTAATCTTCAGTCAACCAACAAATAAAATGAAATCTACTGTAATTGACATTAAAAGTGCACATTATTCACAAAGAGGTCAAAGGTGAACCTCTCACCTGCCTCCTCCTGCAGAAAGTCTCAGAGAGGCCCCCCCTGACGGCGCTGACTCGGCAGAAATCCACTATCTGCTTGAACTTTGGAGCGAGGTAGGACTCCTGAGGAGGGGGGGGGGGGTTGAAGGTGTGTTTCAGCGATGTGTTACTGTATGCACACATTCATTACATGGCTGAGTTGAATACTCGATTCTGATTGTTCATTTTGGACTTTCCAGAGGTTGTCAATTTTAGCTAGCAGACCGTTACTAAGGAGAACAGACCGTTGCTAAGGAGAACTCGCTGCAAATAATCCCTGCCTTAACCTGTTAACCTGTTTTTCAGGTCTCAGGCTCGAAAATGACATTCCCAGAACAAATGACTATATCTTCACTTCTAAAAGGGGTAAATGAATAATCTTTTTTCTCAAAGCAATGATAAACCTGTGAGTTGGATTTAGAAAAGTCAGAATCAATATAGAATTGTTTTATTTTAAATTCAGATTGAACATATTAAAACATGTAAATGATAGTGTCCGTCCAAAAAAAACATAATTTATAGTGAAAACCACCCTTGAATGATGGGATCGGAGACTAAAAGCTTTAGGAATCCAAACTATAACATATAATAAGTACCCTGTATCAAGATTGATGCAAAACAAGTGACATTTGACCTTTTTAGAGAGGTTTAGAAAAAAAACACTTCTGGGGTCATTTGGGTGCATTTGCCATATCTCTGGCCCCCTTCGGTCGATTTTGATGATTGACATCTCTTTTGAACCGTTAGAGCCAATAGAATCAAGGGGAAGTTCCTAAAATCATCTAAACATTACCCATTGGTGAATGAGTGATGCATAGCCAGAATGCCCAAAACCGGAAGCTGTCATACACTCTGGTAGCTATGATAGCAGCTATATGAAAACTCCGTTATTGACATAAATATGGTGATGGATTATCAGTAATCATTTCAAAGTGACACAGACACATTGGATTAACCTTCAGCTGCGTTTTTCTTGTTTTAATGCCATTGAACACAACTTTTGATCAGAAACAGCAAAAGGTAAGACATATTTGCCGTATTTGCTCCGTAAAGCTACGTCGTGTGATGTCTGGGTTTGCTTCCCATGCCACGATCACTCAGGGCTCATTTAGACGCTTCTTGTGAGACTTGTGTTTTGTTTCTGTAAAAATGGTTTGTATTGTCAGTTCGCTGAGTTTCTTACCGTTAGGTGGGTATGACACATTCATAGTTTGTTAAAGGTTAAAGGTAGGGTAGGTAAGTTTGAGAAACCGGCTTGAGATACACTTGTTGTTATATTCCATGGAATGCTCTTAACATCCCGATAGCAATGAATATCTTAAGTGCTTTGACAAAAAATCCATAAAAAAATGTCATCTGTGGAAGCCGTAATACTGTAAAAAGCACGACCAATCATCTGAGCCGGCCCAGCTAAAATAACTGGATGGCCTACCTGCCTGTCAGCCTTCCATCTGTGTGAGGGCCTAAGATATTCAAAAAAATAATATTTAAAAATATTTAAAAAATATATATATTTTTCAAATATATATTTTTTTAATATTATTTTTGTTATATTTTTCATTAGTTTTACCGAAAAAAAACTTGATTTAATTGTATTTAAAATAACATTTCCAAAGAAATAAATCCTTCGAATCTGCCTGTTCAGTCTCTGTTGAATGTGAAGGGTTACATGAAAGAAGCTCGTCTGGCCCTCTGCGATTCACAGAGGGCCCGCTATAGTAACTGAACGAGAGAGTAATGTCAAATGACAGTACAATTGACCAATCATATCTTCCCTCTAAATGGGTGGGTTTTATTATCGCGGACTTTATGACAAGTTCCGCCCGCTGTGAAACTTTTCTTGTTTCCATAGCAACAACAACTTCCTGTCAACAGCGTGAACTCGCCTTCAAAATAAAAGCATGCCAAATTACACTTAAGACATACAACTGCAACGAAAGTAACAAACACAATGCAATATCATTTTCAATGTCAAATAACACAACTTGGGTTCACAGATGTTGTTTTGTGTGGTAGAGGGTCGCTGTCATTGATGCGTTTTGCACCCTGGGCCGTTGTTTTGATATTCCGCTGAAGTATACGCTGTGACGTAATAACTCTTTTTTTTTTTCTTTTTTTCCAGGGAATTGGTGGGGGTCAGAGGGCCTAGGTATAAAGCTCACGGCTCGCCACTGAGTTTGAGAAACCGGCTCGAGATACACTTTTTGTTATATTCCATGGAATTACACGGCTTAATTGAATACTCGATTCTGATTGGTTAATTTGGAGATTGCAGAGGTTGTTAATACTCGATAATACACCGCTGCCAAGCAAAATAGTGCCCGGTGGAATTGACGATCGTTTTTAAGTCAATATAATCATTTTCAATTGATATTGTGAGTCAAGTCGTTGGTTTGTTGAGTATGTGGCCGTGAAATAGGCGGATAATGTGCAGCGAGGCGGTCATTATAGAGACATATCACCCTTAAGAGTTGTATTCATTATCCCTTACTTAAAACACAAAGTCTACAACCCAAAGCAGAACTTAAAATATGATTTTAAGGAATCTTCTATTATCCAAAATCTAATATTGTGTCTTCCTTCACTCAGAAGGGAAGCTGTACTACGTCGGGCCGAAGAAGGAGGAGAAGAGGGAGGTGGTGATCGAGGCGGAGAGGAAGAGGCAGATTTTCCTCGACTGCCACTTCAACGACATCGGTCATCACCTCGGCTAGAAGAAGACCGTGCACCGAATCCAGAGCAAGTACTACTGGCTGGGCATCATCAAGGACGTGGTGGACTGGGTACGTTCGTCTTTAATGCAGTGGTGCAGGAATGAGTCCTAAAACCAAGGGATGAGTCAGCATTGTATCCCGTCCTGTCCCCCGGTGTTGAAGTTTTTTCTGAATGTGTTTTAGGTTATTATCCTGAAATAAGGTCTGAGGTTAACACAAGCTGAAGAGAGTTTCACTTTTAGTTTTACGACATAAAATACATCTGTAAATAACCCACTGTCGGTTGCTAACAAGTGTCTAAATGAGACGACTAAACGTCATCACGCCCAACATTAGCCACCTTTAGCTTAGCGGTGGTGACGTGAAGTCATGTGACCGTGCTGTAGTTCCTTATAGCCTGCAGTTAGCTTTTTCCTTACAAAATCATAAAGTGGTGTTAATATGTGGAGATTATCTTGCTGAACTAAACATGTCAGTATCATAAACGTTTGTTTGACAAAGAGATTATTTTCTGCAATAATCCAAAATCCCATTGGACCAGGGAGATGCTGCCTTCAGGGTCCAACACCTGCTCTACTCTATGACACTGTGACTTAATAGTTATATTAATATTTAACTTTGAACTGTGTCCTGTTTCAGATCAAAGTGTGTGACACCTGTCAGCACACAGAAAGGAGTAAAAACCTGGCCAGGACGGTCCGGCCCATTAAAGTGGACGCACCTTGGGAGATCGTTGGGATCGACATTATAGGTTTTTGCCTTCATTTAATTTCCTCAAATTATATTTATCTGCTGTTTTATTTCTTACTAAATGTTACGTTGCCTTACCTCACCTTACCTCACCTCACCTTACCTTACCTAACCTCACCTTACCTTACCTCACCTTACCTCACCTCACCTTACCTCACCTTACCTTACCTCACCTTACCTTACCTTACCTCACCTTACCTTACCTTATCTTACCTCACCTTACTTTACTTTACCTTACCTTACCTCACCTCACCTCACCTTACCTCACCTTACTTTACTTTACCTCACCTCACCTTATCTTCCTCTTCCTCTTCCTCAGGGCCTTTCCCAGAGACGCAGCAGGGGAACTCTAACGTCATAGTGCTCATCGATTACTTCAGTAAATGGCCCGAAGCTTTTCCGGTTCAGAGGACGGACGCTCTCTCTGTCGCAAAATGTATTTCCAAATGCATATACAGGATACACTTCACAAGATCACCTGTAATCACACTTTACCTGACCAAGTGTTTGAAGCCTCATTCATGATATGTGAATCTTAAAGAGGCCCTATTCTGTTTTTGGAGATTCTCCCTCTAGTACGAGAAAAATAAAGAGCTTTTTGAACATTAAAGCATGGAGACATGTCACATATTCAATGTGTCGCTATCTCAAAGCAAAGGTAATCCTCCAAAATATCCTAAACAATGCCCATATCCACAATAGGTTTTCCTGGTTTTAACCACATTCTAGTAATGCCATTCTTGCTAGCAGCACTCAGGGTTCAAAATAAATATTTTACTTTAGAGGAATCATCGAATATTAAGATTCAAAGTTAAATGGAAAGTCTATCTGAAAAACTTTTCGTAAAAGTCCATGATCTTCCTGCCAGAAAGGATTCAGTGATGTCCAAGACCAGAATACTGTGTATATATATAATCTGAAAATGATTCGCCTCGAGGCACCCACACTGTCTCCCATTTTCCTTCCCTTTCACATGTGTGTTTTTGTTAGAAAAATCTCACTCGTCACCGGCTTGGTCTTCAATATCAGGATCCATGTATTTATTATCCTCTCAAGAATGGAAGTAAAATCAGAAAGAAAATCTGACTTTTTCTAAAATGCAACCATCAGGACGCAGAAATAACAATATTTTTAACCTGAAATTAATCTCCTCTTCTTCTCTTTTCGTTCAGGTTTGGTGCCCCTAAAACAATAGTGTGCACGCAGAACGCTAACTTCTGTGATGAGGTGAGATTATTAAAATACTGTAAATAAATATTAAAGCACAGATGTAAACACCCATGCTGCTGTTTTCACAACATACGATGATACTTTATTATCAGATAAAGTCTGGAAGGTTTTTTGCATCACTGCAGGACCATTTGCAACTTAAAACAAGGATAAACATTAAGAGAAGAAACAGAGATTTCACATGACACTAAAATCACTGTATGTCAGTATGTAGTGTCTCTACTTTAAAGAGTCCTCTCCTGCTGATGTTCAGGTGTATGTCAGTATGTAGTGTCTCTACTTTAAAGAGTCCTCTCCTGCTGATGTTCAGGTGTATATCAGTATGTAGTGTCTCTACTTTAAAGAGTCCTCTCCTGCTGATGTTCAGGTGTATATCAGTATGTAGTGTCTCTACTTTAAAGAGTCCTCTCCTGCTGATGTTCAGGTGTATATCAGTATGTAGTGTCTCTACTTTAAAGAGTCCCCTCCTGCTGCACTTTAACTTAAATAAAAATAGTAATACCACCGTGTGTAGAAATGATCAACACAATACAAATAAATCCAGCATTTAAATGTGATAAACACATGAATGCATCAATGATTATAATCAAAACATATCATATATATTATTCTGAATGTGTCAATCTGCATATTGAGTACTTTTACTTTTGGAACTTTAACTATGTTTTGATGCCAATACTTTTGTACTTTTACTTCAGTGACATCTTGAATGCAGGACTTTTACTGTAACAGAGTATTCCTACACTCTGGTATTTCTACTTTTACTCAGGTACAAGATCTGAGTACTTCTACTTTTACTCAAGCACAAGATCTGAGTACTTCTACTTTTACTCAGGTACAAGATCTTAGTACTTATTCCACCTCTGCAGCTTACAATAAGTGCAATCAACCACGAGGATGCAAACTCCGAACAGCACGAATCCTGCAAGAACATCAGCTTCAGATATGCCAAACATTTGTAATTGCTATACAGATATTTGATTTGTTTATTTATTTGACAATTGCCAGGGTTCTCACACGCACCAAGCCCTGGCAGCACATCACCCCTACTCTCTTCAACCTCCACTGGCTCCCGGTCAAGTCCCGCATCACTTACAAACTCCTGCTCCTCACCTACAAATCCCTCCATGCCCTCTCCCCTCAGTACCTCACAGATCTCCTCCACCCATACATCCCGTCCCGCACCCTTCGATCCTCAGACTCCGGCCTGCTCTCCATTCCCCATTCACGCCTCCGCACCTTCGGGGACCGTGCCTTCAGTGTCGCTGCCCCCACCCTCTGGAACTCCCTCCCTGCAGAAATCTGCAACGCCCCTTCTCTCAACCTCTTCATATCAACCCTTAAAACTCATCTGTTCAACATCGCCTTCCAACTATAACTCACTCCCCCCCCCACTTACACTTCCATTTCTGCCCCCTGTTTTATGTTTATGTTTTTTTATGTTTTATGTCTTGTCCTTGTATGTTTCTTTGTAAAGCGACCTTGAGGTTATGAAAGGCACTATATAAATTCAAATTATTATTATTATTATTACAATTACCTCAAAATGTACACAGAGGGTTCTAAGAACAAGGAAGAGTGTGTTGGAGTTGGTATATATCCCAGACTTTAAAATATCAATCTCAAAAAGAGCGTCTGATCAATTATCAGTGTACACAGCAGAAATGCTGGCTGTAATAATAGGATTACAGTGGGTTGAAGAGGTCAGACCAGATAGGGTGGTGATATATAGATTCATTGTCCATATTAAAAAGCATACAGTCAACAACAACTGTCAGAGAAGACATTCTCATAGAACTGAATCATAGCCTGTTAAGACTTCACAGAGGCGGTATAGATCTTCAGTTCTGCTGGGTGCCTGCACATGAGGGGGTGAAAGGGAACGAGTGTGCTGATAAATGAGCAAAAAGTGCATTACAAAAGGAAATCACATTACCAGTTCAACTTGGAAAAGGAGAAGGAAAAGCAGTGATTAAGAAGAAAGGGATGGAGATCTGGCAGAAAAGGTGGGAGAAAGACCAGAAAGGCAAAGAGTATCATAAAGTTCAAAACACAATCACAATTAATATTTATAAAGAAAGAAACAGAAGGGAGGAAATCATGATAGCTAGACTCAGACTAAATCACACAGCATTGAATGGTACTCTGTATGTCATGGGGACAGTGGCGGCGCCAGGGTATGGCTGGGGTAGGCTACAGCCATACCAAGAAATGGCTTAGCCCCACCATAGCCCCACCATGAAAAGTGATGCAAATTCAATTAAATAATAAGCGAAATGCTAAATGTTGAGAACACGGATTGCGAAAATATACGGGTCGTGTCCACAGCACACAAACTGATCCTGCTGTAACAACAAGTGCACCTTACTGATGCAATATGGTTGAGACCATTCGGGCTTATGCTATAAGAGGGGTGCAAGGAATAGTCTAAGTAGTGGGGGAGTTTTATACACTAAAGGTGTGGAAATTCTCTGGCGTTATAATATCAGCGCGGCCGCGGTCAGATCAAAATGCCTCCGAATGCAATTTGAATAGACCTACAGCCAGAGCAACGCAACGTTGGATCTGCGTCATGCCTTATTGATTGAGATCAATCGAAACCGCCATTCAGTATCCCCATTGGATCTTCAACGTGTACTATCATACGTCACGTTCACAGTGATCCCTTTTTATTTACTACAAGACAAATGTGCCGTTTTATTTCATACAGTTCCATTTTGATTGAGACAGGGAAATAATCTAAACCTCACGCGTGGCGTTTCACTGTCAAGGGGGGTAATATAGCGTGTATGTAATTACATTGCAAATACTGACTTGAGCACCACCACTGTATGGGTTAGCCCTACCATAGATTAGCCAACAAAAATGCTCTGGCGCCGCCACTGCATGGGGAAAAGTGACAGTGACAAGTGTGGGAGCTGTGGAGTAAAAGAACATGTGGAACATATCTTATTACATTGTGACATCTGTCCATCAAGCTCAGAGACCTCGGGCTCAACAGCGCCCTCTGTGACTGGATCCTGAACTTCCTGACGGGCAGACCCCAGGCAGTGCGGGTGGGAAATATCACATCCTCCAGCCTGATTCGATTCTCAACACCGGTGCCCCTCAAGGCTGCGTGCTCAGCCCTCTCCTCTACTCCCTGTTCACCCACGACTGCGTGGCCACACACAGCTCCAACACCATCGTGAAGTTTGCTGATGACACGACCGTCATCGGCCAGATCACAGACGATGACGAGACGGCGTACAGAGAGGAGGTCGAAAACCTGACATCTTGGTGCCAGGAGAACAACCTCCATCTCAACATCAGCAAAACAAAGGAGCTGATTGTGGACTACAGGAAGCAGCAGGGAGAGGGACACGCCCCCATCGCCATCAATGGGACTACGGTGGAGAGAGTCAAAAGCTTCAGGTTCCTTGGGGTCCACATCACTGAGGACCTGACATGGTCTCTTCACACCACCACCATCACCAAGAAAGCTCGACAGCGGCTCTTCTTCCTCCGCAGGTTGAGGAGGTTCAAAATGGATTCCAGGATACTCTGCAACTTCTACAGGTGCACGATAGAGAGTATCCTCACTGGCAGCATGACGGCCTGGTACGGCAGCTGCACCGACCTCGATCGTAAGGCTTTACAGAGGGTGGTGAAAACTGCACAGCACATCACCAGGACGGAGCTGCCATCCATGGAGGACCTTTACTCCCAGCGGCTCAGGAAGAAATCACTACGGATTATCAAAGACCCCCATCACCCCAGCCACAAACTGTTCTTTCTGTTGCCGTCTGGCAGACGTTACCGCAGCATCCTGGCAAGGACAAGAAGATTCGGAGACAGTTTCTTCCCGCGGGCAGTGAGACTGTTAAAAAATTGAACTGTTGAAACAACTTCAAACATTCAACTGCTACTCAGTAGTATGTATCTAATACCTAATATATATATATATCATTCCAATAACTTGTATATAGACTCATACTGCACTATTCCACATCATAACTTTATTTCATTTTTATAACTATTATTATTTTTGTATTGCTCTTGCTCTTATTGTTATTATGTTATGTTATTATGTTGCATTGTTGGAGAAGCCTGTGACATAAGATTTTCAACTGCATAATTACTCTGTAGCTATGTCAGATTGACAATAAAGAACCTTGAACCTTGAACCTTGAAAGAGAAAAACTAAAGGATAAAGTGATAGAGGCAGAGAGGGAATGGAGTG